ATTTAATACTAGAATCAGGTTTGTTGCACGCGTTTTCATTTCTGACCCCAATCCAGCTTCCAAATTTACTTTAGTTGACTTGAATTAATGAGGTTTTCTTGTCACTTATTTATTGTATGGAGAGGTTTTGAAGCTTGCCACAAGTACTCATTTCTTCCTCTTCTCCAACTCTCTGCTTGTAGAGAGAATTGTTGATAAGTCGATTTGGCACCGTGGAAAGAGCGATCATTTTCCTCCAGATGTTAGTTTGGGAAGAAACCAGAAGGGAGTGAAGAGAGGGAGGGGAATAGGAGAAAAACCAGCTGCCACCACTACCAGTTCAGCCCTCTACATGAAGTCATCTACTCCTCCTTCCCTGAGGCTCCCAATACCACCTCCTCTGTCTGTCTTTGCTGAATTTTTCCACCCTTCCCTTTCATTCGCAGTTCTACACATTCTGCTCTCTCTGTATCCCAGGAGGCAGTTGGGGCAGCCTGTGTTTACTGCTGAGGTAATTGGAGTAGCTTGGAGAGAGCCTGACCCTGGCCCTCCTTAGGCCTAAGGTGTGTGTGTGTGTGCGCGCGCGCCGTGTATGTGTGGTTCTGTGTACATGTGTGTATGTGCCTGTTTGCGATGACTGGCAGCAAGGCCAAGGAAGGAAAGCAGGCCTAGCCAATGTCAGCCCACAAGGGAGCAGATAAATTGGTTTTCAATACACTGTCTGTCTTTTCATGTCTCATATTCTCCAGCTATCCCTTTCTTCTTCTGCATATCCCTCCATCTCTCCACCAACTCAAAGATAATCATTCATGCTTTCTCTTGTACTTGCTCTGCAGTGCCTTTTCTCCTCCTGGTACCCTTTTGTTCCACATGTTTTTCTCGCTCTCTCTCTGCTCATCATTTCATCTCTCCAAGCTGAGCTGTTCGCTGAGCTGCATAGCCAGTGACTTTGCCAGATATGAGCAAAAAAAAAAAAAACTCCCCCTCACTTTTCAACCATAGGCATGAACAAATTCATCCCACCTAATCCAGGCACCTGTTGTGTTTATCTGTGGGTAAGATAATAGGAAAAGTTCTAGAATTGTGAGGTCAGGGGGAGAGTGAGGGTCCAGCTCTCTAAACACTCTCAGCCACTCACCTGTTGCTTATTGGCATTTAAAACACACACACACACTTTATATAGCACAGAACATAAGCTGTATTGTCTGTAACAATTGGCATTAGCTACAGTTTGTATTCATCAACATATGGACACAGGTTTTGATCAGAAATGTGAAGCATGACAGTGATTTAGCATGCATCTATTGACCTCATCTCAGGGTTGTCAGGTAGGCAGTGAGACACGGCTCACCTACTTTAGCTCATCACACTGTCTCCCTTCTCCTCCCTCCCTTTCCTTATCCCTCCTTCCCTCATCTCTCTGACTTGCTCTTTCCTGATAGCTTTTACCGCTCTGCTGATTTCACAAATAGGCCTCATTGATTGAATCTGATTCTTGTGGATAGAGCAGCTTTATTGAGTGGCTTTTGCACTGATGGACAGGAGCGTCTGGGAGTGTGTGTGTGTTCTGTTATGTGCATGCGTGTGTGTGTGTGTGTGTGTGTGTGTGCATGTTAGGCATGATAAAGAAAAACTTCCTTTTCTCATCCTTCTCATTCTGTAATTCAGCAAGTATTCCTCTCCCGGGAATTTCAGCAGCCAGTCAGACACACACAGATGCATGCAGCATGCTTACACACGGTCCTAGTGATGGCTGCATCTAAGTGAATGTTTTATTATGGGTGCTGCATGCTGACTGAGGAGTTCTGAGGCGACACCCTGAGTAAGGCAACATTAAAGCGTTAACTGCTCCCCTTGGCTTCATTCATCAGATAAATCGTCTAAGCTCACCTTCTACGGTAGGAAGCTGGCCAAGTACACCTAGGGCTACATGATTTAAGTCAACCAAACCCCACTCCTGTAGTGACATCAGCATTATCTTTTAGTTTCTCTTGATCTCGCTGCCATTTCGGATCTGCTATCTTACTTGTGGTATAGCTTAAACCAGTACACTAACATTGCCAACACTTCGTAAACATCCGCAGAGAACAAAAGATGTCACAGGTGGGAATTTGTATTTTGATGGGGAAAAATGAGCTTGTTTCAGATGTAAAACAAAAATGATCTGTTGGGGTTTGGGAGCTTTAGCTAACAAACTGTGTTAGTGTGAAGATGGAGCTATATCAGCAGCACTCCACTGGGGATACACACATTTCACACACAGCGGCACACACCTCATCCAAGCAGCAGCAGCTGTGTTCTTCCCCTCACACTGCCCTCTATTTTGTTTCTCTGCTCTCAACAGGCAGTGTGCCACCTATGCAGAGTTGGATGGATGATGCCCCCCTCCCCCCATTTAACCCCCACAACCCTGCTGATCCATCATCATACAACACACAAGCAGCCCTAACATTCATATCCCAGCATGTCTTTTCCCTTTGTTTTTGTCCTAAGCAGCAGCTACCCCCATGCTCGTTATTTTTCCTGAAATTTAAAAGGCTAGTCTTGTCTCAGACTATTTAAGTATAGCTATAAAAACACCAGTCATCTGTGGTTCCTCAGTTTGCACCTTGCTCATGAAGGCTACCTGCAGTTGATTTGAGAAGAAAGACTAAGGAGCTATTTAAATGACAAGGCTGTCTGTTAGGGAAAGCTAGTGACAACTAAGCTTTCTGTAGAGACAGTGACAGTAAAAAGCAAAAATAAATGTCTGATTTAATTTTGTCACAATAAGTGTGTTAAGCTTTGAAAGCATGATGCATTCAGCTCCCTCCCTGATTTAGTGAAAGCTTTTCCTAGTCTTTCTCTTTCATTCCCTCTCAAGAAAGTCAACTTGGCCCACTTCCAAACAACCACTGACACAGTTTTAGAGGAGACTCACACGTGCACACACAATGAAGGAAGAAAAACAGCAGTTTGAATCATTACCACATTAGGGCAGACATGTATTTTGTTTGTGCTTTTTACAGTGTGCAAGGTTGGACAGGTCAAGGTCAAATTTAATTTGTGGTGTAAATAACTAAAGAGGAATGGAGTAGAGAAAGCAATGAGGAAATGCATTCCTAAATGTTTACTTTGCACACTTTTAGGATTGATAGGTGGTTATTGTTGGGCTTGTTCATTCATGTGTACAGATGTTTACATAGAAGTTGCATCATCTAATTGGAAGTGATTTTGGCTCTCCATTGAGGCAGGCTTACTTGCCTGTGTTAGTCTTGTTAGATTTTGACCTGAACCGTGTTCAATTAACCTAGGGTGCTTATCATTGTTGACACTGCTTGTCAAGTGGCCCGTTTTTCGCCTCCAAATCTGATAGTGAAGAAACAAAACAGGGCTTGGCAGCTATTTAAGAGGATGCTGTGGGTTTTGTAATTTTTAGAACTATTTAAATGTACTTTTAAATCTCTGAGGAATGCAAGGTTCTTGTACCTGCTTAGTGTGATTAGTGTGATTGTTAACTTAGTGTGGTTTGATATGAAATACTAGGTCCACAGTTGTACATCATCATGTTATTTTGAGCAGCAAAATGACAAATGAATGAATAAATGAATCATTTGAAATTCTGATAACCAAAACTATGGAAATCATGCATGTTGCATCACTAGTGCTTGATTTAAGCCTTTTGTATGCCTTTTCAGCACAGTGTTGTAGCTTTGAAATATGTTGGTATTTTTGTGCTTTTATCCAAAGGAAAGAGCACTATGTGTACTTGGTTTGTTAATTGGCAGCTGTGTGGTACACTAAACCTACATGTGTGAATACTGTGACTTCTCTGAAGCCACTGCCTTATATTTAGTCAAGGGAGACCAGCCTCTGTCACTTCTTCTCTTGCTTAACCTCGTGCTTTCTCTTTGTCTATCTATGGCTGTGCTGAAGAGGAGTCTCATGGGAGGGCTTAACACTGAGCCCACGTTCTTTTTCCCCTTCTTTCTCTCTCCCTTCTCACGTCTTTCTTTCTTTATCATCTTCTGAATGGAGCGGCAGACTGCTGTTGAACTGTGAATTAGTCCACGAGACAGACTCACACAGACCGGATTGAGAATCTCTCTGCTTTCTTGTTTTTATTGTTGCCACCTCTAACAGGCTGGTTTGCCCTACTGTGTGTGCACAGGATGCGTTTACATACAGAATCAGTGTATAAATTAAACCTTTGTGAGTTGAAGTGGTGAGAGAACAAGAATCACAATTGTAGCCTCGGTATCAAAAATGCATGAAATCATTAATTTACTTAAGGTATATCTGATGTTTCACATGCCCGTCTTTGCACCCTTCAGTTTTGAGACTATTCACATAAGGCTCTACTAAAAGTTTGATGTACAACCTAGAAAATCACATGGGGCTTTTGTGTTGTCATGGTTATTGAGTGTTCGGTAGCTTCAGGGGAAATGGAGTTTGTGGGTGGAGGTGTGCGTGGAGGATAGGGGTGCAGAAAGCAAAGTGGGAGGAATGGGTGGTTGTGAGTGGGAGGAGGGGTGCCATCTTAATTGCTTTCCGTGAATAATTTCAGCCCCTAATTTGGCGATAATGACAGTGGCTGCTGCTTTTGTATTTATTTATCCAAACATTAATTGACAGGCCTGACATTAGGCAGGGTGGTTATTGCGCATTTGATTGCGCACATGGGAGCAGAGAAAATTACAGTAATTATCATTCTGATATGGATTATGAATATGCATTCCCACACTTAATGTCTCTGTCAGCATTTTAGTAACAACAAAACACTCTGCCATGACAACAGCACTTTAGCGTATCCCCATTTTTCTTTCCCTGAACCCAGTCCAAGCGCCGCTTGTGAAGAGCAGATTAAATGTTGGATCCAAATGATTTAGCTGCTCCACTGTAGCTTTTCAATCCAGGCATGTGGTTAGGTGAAATGTCATCACGTGCATAGTTTCAGTTGGCCTGTAAAGGAGCTTCAATTTGTATGGAATTAGTGTGTTGTGTGTTATTGTTGACAGACATTAACACTTTGTTTTTCACAGGCCGAGGGAGAAGACAACTTGAAGAAGATGCAGCTAATGGAACTAGCGATTCTCAATGGGACTTACAGAGACAACAATGTCAAAACATGTAAGTGAGCCGCCTGGAACACATTCACAGTTTAGACAATATATCTATTTTACTGCCAAGACCACATTTAATTATATCAGTAAAAATCTAATGTATATATGTATTTCTCATTGACTAATGCCATTTACTTTTAAGAAATGAAATGTGTAGTCAGCTCTACTAAGTACATACATCATTATCTCTGACCACTAGCAGACCTCTGACTCTCAAGCTCTCCAAACAATTTGTTTACCTACCACAAGTAGGACATCTTCCATTCCATTCTCCTCGGTTTTCCTTTCCTCCTCAACCAACCCTCCATCCGTTCTTCCCCCTGTAGTCGAAACGCTGTCGCTCTGTATAACTCGCTGTTGGCAGTCTCTAAACCTTGACCACATTCCACCTGCTCAACTATGCATGTTAGTCACTAGTTCGCACATCTACAGTGTTTGCTACTTAATCACAAAGTGTCATTTCTGAATGTATTATCACATCTGTAATTTGGATAGCAGAAATTACCTACATATTTGTGTATAGTCGAAACAGATCCAGATCGTATGCATTTGCTTTATAAACTCCTGGTTATTTTGTTAATTATTATTCAGAAATTAATTTAAACGTGATCATAAACTGGGTCCTTCTATACGCAGACTCAAATTTATGAAATTAAAGTGATAAATTTTACTGTTGAATTTTCCTTATTTAACATCTGCTCAAATGGTAGCCATGACAATTACCGTAGCACTTGGTTTAATTGATCTGCCTTTGGGGAAGCTTGTGTGGCACTGCTCGTTGGACGTGCTAATGCAGAACGATTTTCAAGATAATTTTTGTGTTCATTTGTGTCATTCAACCAAAATGGACTGCTGACTTTGTAGAGCATCAACATTTCATTAAATCAAAAAAACAACATCAGTGTAACATGTGACCTTCATATGAGCTTCAAAATTCTTTAGTCTTTTGTGAAACCAGACAAGTGTGTCATCCTCTACATATAGTCACCAGCTCCATTTCTGTCCGTGTGTATGTGTGTTGTTATGTCACCTCCTGTCATTTCCTGTAGATGTGGAGCTGCTGTGGTGATTGGTATGCTTTGAATGAGAGCAGCATTTATGTTTTGGGTATGAGGGGTTATTTTTATTTTGTTTGGCTATGTTTAGTTTTTCTTTGCAGCATATTGTGGCTTTTGTGGTTCAACACCATGATCATTGCATGGACTAATTTTCCCTTTTGCCCCCTCTTCTCCCCTCTCCCTGCCACTTCCTGTTCCTTCTTCTCTTTTTCCTTTTGTATTTTCACCTTCACTGTTCATCTGTGATTATGATCAACCTTATCTCTTGTCCCCTTTCTTTCTTTCTGCTCCTGTCCTTCACTCTCT